GACAAATTCTTAAAGGTTATGAGAAGAATGAAGACTATCTGAAGAGTGGATCTTGAAAAGGATAGACCACGTTTTTCTTGCACAAGAACATTGGAAAAGAAGATAATATATAATGAAAACTTAAACAGCAGTAGAAGAGTTTACCGTTATGGCATTTGACTGTCCTCCCAGCTCTTGGAAGGCTGAGGCAGGAGGGTCCTGAGTTCATGGACACCTGTGGTAGAGCTGGTTGGGACTTGAAGATGAAAAAGTTTGAACCACTGTTGTTTTTTCTTTGTTTCTGGCATTGGGACTTGAACTCAGTACTTAATATTCTCAGTTTGGCTTTCTTGCTCACAGCTAGCACACTACCACTTGAGCCATGCCTCTGGTCCAGCTGGTTCATTGGAGGTCACTTTTCTGCGCAGGCTGGCTCTGAACCTCTGTCTTTCAGGTCTTAGCCTCCTGAGTAGCTAGTAGAGCCAGTAGAGTCTGACTTAAAACCACTGTTGTGAGGAATGTTAAAAAACAAAACAAAACACCAAACTCATCAAAAGACAAAGGCAAAGGTTGCATCTTTTCATTTTGGGCCTGGTTGAGACTTAACGGTTTGGCTTGTGTTCTTAGTTATTTTTGCACTGCCCAAAACGTAGAATCCGAAAGTAGATAGCTGGTGTTGGTATGGGGCGAGGCAAGTCTAGAAAATCGGTGTAGTAAAAGGGAAAAACTGAAATAATGTCAGGGAGTAGGTAAGAAGGAGAATAGTTCCCATCTCCAGGAGGTAGACTGACTTTCCCTATTGCTTTGGAGCAATGGCACCTTTCCTAGGAGTTCCCTGACGTACTTCTCATGACTCAGTGGCCAGGATTAGATTACAGACCATGTCACTCTCTCTACTCTTTTCTATACTTTGTGCCCGGGGAGGCTGACCTTAAGTCCTCTGGGGTTTCCTACAGTGTTTGGCCTATGGCTGCCATCGCCTAGAGATCAGGGGTGAAGAGCAAGGTGGGTGTGTTCAGCACTTTAGTCCTCGGCCTGCCTGGCAGCCACCACACCTTTCCAATACTTCTCTGCAAATTCTCTGCTCTGGATTCTTCTTTGTTCCTTCAGGACTTCAGATGGGAACAGCTTTCCTGAGGGTTGCTATAATATACTTTGTTTCTTTTCTTACTTTGTTGCCACAGTTTAGAAAACCCATCAATAAGCTGCTGTACTCTGATAAAAATGACTTTTTCTTCCTTGTTTTTTGTGGTGCAGGGGATTAAGCACAGGGATTCACCTATGTCCAGCATGTGCTCTACCACCTAGCTGTATCTCTAGCCTCTAATCTGAAGTTAGTTTCTGGCAAGGACAGTGAAACAATGAAGCAACCAAATGTGTCCCCCATAGCTATGTCAAATTATAAGTCATGTGTAGGGGTGCAGGGGCTCACTCTTGTAATCTCAGTTGCTTGGGGAGGGTAAGTAGGAGTAGCAGTGTATAATGGTCTGTTTGAGCACCTCATATTTGTTTGACTGAATCTAGGTGCCCTAGTGTAAAATATACATCAGACTTCAAAGACTTTGTTTGCACCTTTTTGTTTTTTTTTCTTCACATGCCCTTTGCTCCTTACAGCTATTTCTCTTCTTTATAATATGGGTCCTAGAAAATGTAAAATTACACATGTGATTTATATTTCTGTTGGACAGTATTGATCCAGAATGTGATTATAAACCAGAAAGTAAGTAAATGAAAATGACCCTTTGGAAAAATCCTATTAAGTAGAATATTTTATTTCTTATTTTTGTGTGTTCATTATTTTTCTGCAAGCTCTGGCTCTTTTTTTTTTTTTTTTTTTTGGTGGGTCATGAGTCTTGAACTCACGGCCTGGTATTGTCTCTGAGCTCTTGCTCAAGACTAGTGTTAGGTGGGAGCGGAGGGAGAAAAGTTCCTTCCTGCTCCTGCCCACTCTTCCCTCATTCCTCTTCACGTAGGACAGCACGTAGGACAGCACGTAGCCATACCAGAAACTACCTACCTGAAACCAGTAATCACCTGTAACTGTTAATTACCTTACTGTCAGTCATCTGATTCTGAGTCAGCAAAAGGGCCCCAGGCTCTGAGGTCACTTCCTCATCCTCTGTGGTCACTTCTGTAGCCCCGGTGGCCACATTTCCTCCTTGTCTTTCCCTATATACTCTCTCTCTGCCAATAGTTCGCACTCTGCACACCTACATCTGGTACAGGCCTGCAGTTTGGTTCTCCCAATAAGCTCTTCTGCCCAACCCACATGGTGGTCTCTTTACCAATTTGAACCACAGTTCCATTTTCAGTTTTTGAGTGGTAAATTGGAGATAAGAGTCTCACAGGGACTTTTCTGCCCTTACTGGCTTCAACCCTCAATCCTCAAGTCTCAGCTTCTTGAGTAGTTAGGATGACAGGCATGAGCCACTGTGCTCTGGCTTTTTTCACTCATGGATGTAGCTCTGCAACTTTAGCCACACCTCCAGTTCCTAAATACAGTATTTTAAAGCAACGAGAGCTTGGTATTTGTAGGCATTTGATCCAGGCTAGTCTCCAAAAGCCCAGCAAGCCTTCATACTATTTATTTTTCCAGAAGAATATTTTCAGCATAGGTTCACTGTCATTTTTCTTTATCCTTTGAGAGTTGGCTCAAATTTCTTTTACAGTGCTAGAGATCAAATCGAGGGCCATGTGCATGCTAAGCAAGCGTGCTACCATTGAGCTGCATTCGTCAGCTCCAATACTGACTTCTGTACCAGACTATCTATTCTCCCATGTCTCTGGTGGATATTGTCATCTTCTGGTTATATGTTTTTCCTGGATCCTAAACGAAGAGTTTGAGGTACATACCCATGCCTTATATATACTGGGTCCTTCTGTGGGTTTTTCTTGAATAAGTAAGCTTGTAAACAGAAAGAATAAGTAAGTTATCAATTGGATTACAGCCATGCACCATCATTCCTTGCCTGTTTTTAAGATAAGGTTCTGCTAACTTTGCCTGGGTTGGCCTAAAACCACAATCCTAACACTACTACCTCCCAAGTAGCTTGGGTTTGTGTCAATGCCCAACACATTTCTTTATTTTTAGTTTTTAAAGGTAGAGTATTGCTACGTAGGCCAGACTGGTCTTGAACTTTTAATCTTCTGAGGTAGGGGATTATAGATATGTACTACCATGTCCATCTCTTCAGAGTTGTTTAATCCATCTATCCATTGAGTTTGAAATTCTAATTTTTATATTACATTTGGGAATTTGACTTGGTTATTTTTAAAAATATATTTGGCCAGTTAGTTTATTGTTCCTTATTTTATATTTTTGAGTTTTGCTTTTTATTTATTTATTTATTTACCATATTAAACATTTGTTATTTTACATCCTGTAAATGACAACTCATATTGGCTTTTGTTTATGGTTTCCCATTTGTGTTGTCTTGTTTTCTATGGTTTTATGCTTTTTTAACTCTGACCTTCTTTTTTCTTGGAACATTATCTGTTGGAATTCTTGTAGGTCCTGGTTGATAACATAACCTATCTGGAAGGAACTTCCATTTTTTATCTGACTGTAGTCTCAGGATACAACTTGGTTTTGTTTTAAAAATGTGTGTCTTAAGGTTCTTCAGATAACATAGATATTGTGGCTTTAGGTTGCAAAAGGTATTTAGAGAGTTATGTTTCCAGAGGAAATGTTTTGTCTTCTCCAGACAGAGTACAGTCTATGCATTTCCTCCCTGTGCTTTTTCTGTTGGTGTTTCTGTCCAGTCTACTGATGATGTGACTTTGGGGTCCTTGACTCTCAGATGGCCTTAAATGCCAAAATCATGTCAGGCTCTAGACATTTCGGTTGTGCCACACTGTGAAAGTAGTTCTTGATTATAGCCATTCTAACTGGGGTGAGGTGGTATCTCAACGTTGTTTTGATTTGCATTTTTTTTATGGCTAGAGAGGTTGAGCATTTCTTCATGCGTCTATTGGCCATCCTTCTTTCCTCTTCAGAGGAGTTTCTCTTTAAGTCTTTAGCCCACTTATTTATTGGGCAGTTGTTTCTTTGAAGATTCGTTGTTGGGGGATTTAATTTTTTGAGTTCCAGGTATATTTTAGATATGAGACCTTTGTCCGTTGTATGGCTAGTGAAGATCTTCTCCCAATCCGTGGGCTTTCTATTGAGCTTGCTAGCTATGTCCTTTGCCATGCAGAAGCTCTGCAATTTTATGCGATCCCAAAAAATATGGAACGCTTCACGAATTTGCGTGTCATCCTTGTGCAGGGGCCATGCTAATCTTTTTTTTTTTTTTGTCAGTCGTGGGGCTTGAACTCTGGGCTTGGGCGCTGTCCCTGTGCTCTTCAGCTCAAAGAGAGCGCTCTACCGCTTGAGCCACAGCACCACTTCCGGTTTTCTAGAGGTTTATTGGAGATAAGAGTCTTACGAACTTTCCTGCCCGGGCTGGCTTTGAACTGTGATCCTCAGATCTCAGCCTCCTGAGTAGCTAGGATTACAGGCGTGAGCCACCAGCGCCCGGCTCATGCCAGTCTTCTCTGTATCGTTCCAATTTTAGTATATGGGCTGCCGAAGCAAACACAAGATAAGAGTCTTGCAGACTTTCCTGCCTGGATTGTCTAGAACCTTGATCCTCAGATCTCAGCTTCCTGAGTAGCTACGGTTTTAGGTGTGAGCCACTGGTGCCCAGCTTTAAAACTTTTTTTTTAAAAATGTTTAGTTTTACCCAATATCTTATTAATCTCAATTGTAGAATCTATTTAGGAAATGTCATTTCTTATACCATCACAACTGACTACTTGTCATTACTGTGTATATGTTTAGTAGTTTTGTTTTCTCATACTTACTATTTTTAGGTATGTTTCCATTTACATTTTTAGAGATGGTTTAATATTTTTTGGTTTTACTGAAGTTTGCAGGGTCAGCTTTTATATTTGCTTGTTTCTCAATTTTATGATTTAAGTAGTGTTGCTAAGTAACTATATCATGCATCAACTTAAAACTCTTATTTTTCTTCTCTTAGGTCAACTTGACATAAAACAGCTGATAGCAAAGAAGAGACAGTTGGCAGCAGAGGCAGAGGTCAGTGGTAACTTCCACTTAAGACTCTGAAATGTAATTGTAGGTGGATAGATTTGAATGTTATTTAGAGAATATTTTCCTTATTGGTTGATAATAGTTTGCCGTAGAACAAGAAAATAAAACCTGCCGCTTTGCCATCTTGCAGAAGAGTACACATTGCCTTTTGTCTCCTGTCACAGGCCTAAGATTTTCTGACTCTTTCAGCAAATCTTGATTTTAGTGAACTGTGTGGAGAGCTGAGAGAGTTGAGTATTTGAATGACGGATGGAGTTATCTCTCATGGTTCATAGTCACTAGGCCTTCAGTAAAGGTTGAATCTGAATCAAGAAGTATATTTCCTGTCAGAGAAGTCAAAATAACTCAGAAACTACTACAGAGAACTGTTTCAAGTAAGGACAAACTGGCCTACAGATTGTATAATTATCAATACCTTAAGGAAATTCTGGAGGACAAAGAATACTTTTAAAGAAAACAAACGTAATCTAATAACATGTGCCTGGATGTAAGTTGATTTCAAATCTAAGTCAATTCCCTTTCTATCCACAATTTTTTTTTGGGGGGGGTCCAGTCGTGGGGCTTGTACTCTGGGTCTGGACGCTGTCCCTCAGCTCTTCAGCTCAAGGCTAGTGCTCTACCATTTGAGCCACAGCGCCACTTCCGGCTTTTTTCTTTTTGCTTATGTGGTGCTGAGGAATCGAACCCAGGGCTTCAGGCATGCAGGACTCTACCACTGAGCTACCTTCCCAGCCCTTAATTCTCTTTCTAATGGAAGACCATTTCCAAAGGTTATTGGCCAGACTGAATCTATAATCAATATCTAACACTCAATGATGAGGATGAAATAGGCCTGTTTTAGTTATTAGTTTAATTAGATGTATAAATCCATACATATATATTTATAATGAGTAAGTTCAGCAAATTTAAAAATATTCCCTAAAAGAGTATAAGATTATTTATATTAGTTAGATAGCAGGATCTTTGTTATTATCAGTTTCTCTCCAAGGCCAAGGACATATCTTTCCCCTTTCATCTTGTTTGTTTGAAATACAGCATTTTTTAAGTCCAAGGTTATTAATTCCAATAATCTGTTTGTTTAACATTGAGATTACTTTCCCCTTTTATTCTGTAGGGCTATTTGTGATATCTATAATGTAATAACTGGTTTGCTTTATAAAATGGTATGCAAAAGATGTATTGATACTTAAAACTGTGAGTTGGTTCTTAGTTAAAAGGGAATTAAATTTTATTCATCTTCTTTTCTTTTGCTCAAGGCTAGCACTCTACCACTTGAGCCACAGCACCACTTCTAGCTTTTTCTGTTTATGTCGTACTGAGGAATCGAACCCAGAGCTTCATGCATGCTAGGCAAGCACTCTATCGCTAAGCTACATTCCCAGCCTCTCATCTTTTTTTTCTTGATTCTGTTGGATTGCTTGTAGAAGCCTCCAAAACTATAATTCTTTCTGGACAAAGCCTTTCCTGATTAGTATTTTGTTGCTCTTTTAAGGAACTATTTGAAGATTTGACTGTTAGGCAACTTTTTCTCTCTTCTTTTTTTCTTTTTTCCATATTGGTGTTTGAACTTGGCCTGGAACCTGTTAAGCAGGCCCTACCACTTTATCCATGCCTTCAGCCCTTTCTGTGTGGTAGTTTTCAAGGTAGGGTCTTACTTTATGCCAGGACTGGCCTTGGCTCTGATTCCCCTACTAATGCTTCCCCATGTAGTTGGAGATAAGGACATACCACTCATTGTGGCCAGCCATTGTGCTTTCTCTGTAGTTGGGATAATCAGTGCATGCTACTGCACCCAGCCATTGGTTGAGATGCAATCTGAAAACTTTTTATTAAATAGTGCTTTGTTCTGAATGAACAACCCAATTGTATCTGGTGAACCCATGATTTGATGTAGAAGTGTTTGTATTGGCTGTTAGTTTCTATTTCATTAGATTAAACATTCTGTTATGTATGTATGTAGAGCTATGACAGCTGATCATTCCCTTTACAATAAAAGAATTTCTGAGGAAAAGTTTTAGTTAGCTACATGGTTGTGACATAAACCATATAAAGAGGACCTTGAAGAAAAGTAGTCCAATGCACTTTCCTTTAAAATTAGTGGAATAGCAATCAAGGAAAATGTACAAGAACTGGACTGGAGTAAGATACCAAATTACAGATGACTTCAAAGATTCCTGACTTTCATTTATTTATTTTTTTAATGGCAAAATTCTAAGAGAAATATTATATGAAAACAAGCAAATTGTATGGCTCTGAACAAGGCTGACATTCTTACATGATCATTTTATGTTAGTTGATGTCAAGCAAATACAATTATGTATATAAAGCACTTAGTATAAAGCCTGGCTTTTAATAATGTTATAAATATAGTTCCTTTCTCCTACCTAAACCTGCTTATTTTTATTACAGTAGCTTCCTGTCTGGTCTTACTATATGCAATCTGCCTTTGTAAGTTGTTTTGAACTTGAACATCAGAATAATAGTTTGACTAGATACCTTATTGATGAACAGTCTGCTTAATAAACAGTGAGCGTGGGACCGGAAGTGTTGCTTAGAAGTAGTCACATGTAGTTAACTAAAGCTGGTGCCCAGAATTCATTTTTCCCTATTATAAAGGGAATGGTTAGCTCTTATAGCTCCACAGACTAGAGTTGTCAGCTGAGTAGTACAACTTAACAGATAGCCAGTGAATACCTTTTTAGTCATCATTCAATATTTGAGACATGCTTAGATTTAAAAAGCTACTTTTTATCAGACAGACATAACAGTAACTTGTGCTTTCACCAACTCTAGAAACGTACAGAGAACTCTGAAAATTTAGATCTATAGTAGAGCTCAATTTAGGAAGGGAGTAAAGAAGGCTGTCAAATTCTGACTGAGCAGCTCTTCAGTCTGACAGGAAGTGGTGGGTGGAAGGCATGTGAGGACTTTGCTAGAGTGAAATTAATGGGGCCATAAAAATTGTGTATCTAGGACTGAAGCTGGCTCAGTGGTAGAGCGCTTGCCTTGAATGAATGAGGCCCTGGGTTCAATTCCTCAGTACCACATAAGCCGAAAAAGCTGGAAGTGGTGCTGTGGCTCAAGTAGTAGAGCACTATCCTTGAACTGAAGAGCTGAAGGACAGCGCTCAGGTCCAGAGTTCAGGCCCATGACCCACCAAAAAAAAATAATATTAATAAAACTAATTTAAAAAATGGTGTATCCTAGCTGGGCTCTGGTGGCTCATGCCTGTAATCTTAGATACTCAGGAGGCTAAGATATCAGAATCGTGGTTCAAAGCCAGCCAGGGCAGGAAAGTCCATGACACTCGTATCCCAATTAACCACCAGAAAACCAGAGGTGGCACTGTGGCCCAAATGCTAGAGCACTAACCTTGAGCTGAATTGCTGAGGGACAGCACCCAGGCCCAGAGTTCAGGCCCTACGACTGGCCCCGCCCCCCCCCCCCCAAAAAAAAAAAGACTTTAAACAATCTAAAGGAGAGTCAAATGATTAAAACCAAATAACTTACGTTAATAATTTTAATATTGGATTACACAATTTTTTGTTATAAATAATAAATCTACTCTGATTTCTTTTTTCTTTTTTTTGTCGGTCATAGGGCTTGAACTCTGGGCCTGGGCACTGCCTCTCAGCTCTTCAGCTCAAGGCTAGCGCTCTACCACTTGAGCCACAGTGCCACTTCTGGTTTTTTGGTGGTTTATTGGAAATAAGAGTCTCATTGTGTTTCCTGGCTGGTTTTGAACTGCAATCTTCAGCCTGCTGAGTAGCTAGGATTACAGGTGTGAGCCACTGGTGCCTGGCTACTCTGATTTCTTTTTTTTTTCTTTTTTTTTTTTTACTATTTTCTTTTGTGGGGTGGGGGGGTCCAGTCGTGGGGAGTGAACTCTGGGCCTGGGTGCTGTCCCTCAGTTCTTCAGCTCAAGGCTAGTGCTCTACCACTTGAGCCACAGGGCCACTTCTGGCTTTTTTCTTTTTGCTTATGTGGTGCTAAGGAATCGAACCCAGGGCCTCAGGCATGCAAGACAAGCGCTCTACCACTGAGCCACCTTCCCAGCCCCTACTCTGATTTCTTTAAGTATAAAATGTATTTGAAAGATATTAATGTAACTCATAGAATCTAGAAGTTAAATGTTCAGTATCTTGAAAGGGTAGAGATTTTAATAGGAAAAATTTAGATAGTTCCTGATGTTTCATTTAATAAAGTTGCTACTCTCAAAGGTCAGGACTTTGGATTTATGGGAGAACGAATTGAATTTTGGCTAGAAGGGCAAGGCCATATGGCACATTCTAGCCTGGTTAGTCATTAGCCTTATCTCTTGATTGTGGATTCCCGAGAAAAGTGAAGATGGTAGAAGGGCAAGAAGTGGCTTCACTGTCACCATTTGTGGAGCTTTTATTAATAGATACTTTTGTGGGTTTTTTTGGTCAGTCGTGGGGCCTGAACTCTGGGTCTGGGCACTGTTCCTCAGCTCTTCAGCTCAAGCCAAGCACTCTACCACTTGAGCCACAGCGCCACTTCTGGTTCTCTAAGTGGTTTATTGGAGATAAGAGTCTCACGGAGTTTCTTGCGAGGCTTGGCTTTGACCCAGGCTTGGCTTTGAACCGATCCTCAGATCTCAGCCTCCTGAGTAGCTAGGATTATAGGTGTGAGCCACTGGCACCCAGCTGTCTTAAGTATTTTCTGTCCAGAAATTGTGATTATTGCATAAATTAAGATTGGGTTTTGCTGTAAAAATGAACAAAAAGCCAGTTGTGGCTTACACGAGCTAGAAGTATATTTCTGTCTCACCTCCACATTCCTAGGGGTGGGAAGTCCAGAATTGGTATGTCCACATCCTGGTCCTCAGGGACCTGGTTCCTTTCGGCTCCCTGCTTCACCACTCAGATTGCCTTCCCCCTCCTCATTTTCCAAATGGCTCCAGCCATCTCACCTGAGTTCCAGGCAGCAGCATTGAGATAGGGAAGGAGAGGGACAAGGAACTG